TGTCAAGAGGCAGATCGAGGAACTTATTTAGCGTGGTCAGTTACGGTAGTATGTTGCTAGCAAAGAATAGGCCCCATCGCCTAATAGGAATCAGGAGGACAGATAGTGCCAATAACCCCTTGGAGAAATCTAGACGATCTCTGGAAGGTTAGGAGGAGGAGGTGACTCCAACTCCACCAGAAAAGCCCACACTTGGAAATAAAGATAGGCAAAGTTGCATGACTCTCGCCCGACGAAGACACCCTGGCACAAGGAAAAAAAGTCATCACCTTTTCAGAAAAGGAGCTCGAGGGAATCCAAGTCCCACATGATGATCATCTTATCTTAACCATGATGGTAGCCAACTATCAGGCTACGAGAATTTTGGTCAACAACGACAACACAACTGATATCCTGTTTGCACCAGCCTATGATAGCCTCCACCTTGGCAGGGAGAGATTACAACCCATCAATACTCCCTTTGTTGGCTTCTCAGGGGAGAGTGTTTATCCCTTGAGTTCCATCACCCTACCAGTCGCCACAAGGACAGCGTAAAGAAGTTCCACTATCATGGTAAACTTCATTGTATTGGACTCCCTTTGCCTACAATATCATTCTTGGATGCCCTGCACTCAACACCTTAAGGGCAGTACCATCCATCTACCACCTACTCCTCCGTGTCCCTACCCCCAGTGGGATTGGAGAAGTCAAAGGAGACCAACTCTCTATCAGGGAATGCTATGTGGCCTCTATGAGGGCCAAAAGGCCACAAGAGACTCTCCAAGTCGAAGTACTTGACCCAAGGGATGATAATGCCTTGGAGAGAGAGGAACTAACAGAAGAACTTTAACCAGTAGAACTAGACGAGAGCCTTCTAGAGAATCCCACAAAGACCTGGAAGGAATCAACCTTGAAGTAGCCATCCACCGACTCAATGTGGACCCTAGGTACAAATCGGACCGCCAAAAGCAAAGGAATATAAGCACCGAGAGAGGCCTGACCATGGAGAAGGAAGTGGAGAAGCTGATGGAAAATAGGTCAGCAAGGCAGGTAGCCTACCCGGATTGGCTATCAAACGTAGTGATGGTTACAAAGGCCAATGGGAAGTGGCGCCTCTGCATGGACTCTACGGAGATCAATAAAGCCTATCTCAAAGACAATTATCCTCACGCGTCAGTCTCCTTATTGATGCCTCTGTGGGATCGAGCTTCTAAGCTTTCTGGATGCTTACTCTGGGTATATTAGATTATCATGTTCCCTCTAGATCAGAAGAAAACCTCTTTCATCACCCCGAAGGTCACCTACTGCTATAGGGTGATATCTTTCAGACTCAAGAATGTCAAAGCCACCTACCAGCGCCTTGTGAACAAGATGTTTGAGTCATAGATTAGGAAGACCATGGAAGTCTACATGGATGACGTGTTGGTGTAGAGCATGACTGTAGTAGACCACGTGATACATCTTTAGGAGACCTTTGACATCCTGTAAGCCTATAGGATGAAGCTGAACCTTGAGAAGTGCGCCTTTAGCATTAGTTTAGGAAACTTCCTAGGCTTCATGGTCTACAAATAGAGTATTGAGACCAACCCAGACAAGATCAGAGCTATCTTGAAAATGAAGTTTCCAGCCTTTGTGAAGGAGGTCTAACGCCTTAACGGGAGGAGAGCAACCTTCAACAGATTTGTCTCAAAATTAGCAAACAAGTGTCTGCCTTTCTTCAAAATCCTCCTCAAACCTTTTCAGTGGGGAGCAAATGCAGAGGATGCCTTTCAAAAGTTAAAGGCCTACCTCGTTACACCTCCTTGCTCTTCCATGTTGTACTAGCAGAGACCTTGTACCTCTACCTCTCCTCCTCGTCCTCTGTCATGAGCTCCTTCCTTGTTAGGGAGGATGGAGGCATCTAGAAGCCAGTATACTATGTAAGCAGGACATACCGAGGAGCAGAGATAAGATACTTACAGCTGGAAAAATATGCCCTCGCACTTGTCACCGCTGCTAGGCGCCTATGCGACTACTTCCAAAGCCATACCATCGTGGTTATTACAAATCAACCACTTAAGAGAATCCTGAGAAATCCAGAGGTGTATAGCCGACTCCTCAAATAGGTTCTCCAATTGAGCGAGTTTGACGTGCAATACTAGCCGAGGGCAGCCATAAAGGCACAAGTGATTGCAAACAACCTTGCAGGACCTTGAAGATCACACTCCAAGGCCAGAGGCACCCAGCTCCCTTGAACCTTCTCCTCCAGATCCCTCAAAACCCTCTTTACCTATACCTTTTATTGTTGTACTCCCGCCTAAGTGCCCTACTGTGCCTAAGAAGACGTCTCTCACTCACATGACACCATGCTGGAGATTGTACGTAGATGGATCCTCCACCAGCGAGGACGGAAATGCAGGACTAGTACTGATCATCCCCCACAACACCTCATTCAAGTACGTCGTCTCCCTCCATTTCGTAGCATCAAATAACCAAGCAGAGTACAACTGTACGATGCCCTCATATTAGACTTGAAGCTTGCGATGGAGATGGAAGCCCTCTGCTTGACATCTTACAGCAAATCACAACTAATAGTCAATCAAGTACAGGGAGACTTCGAAGTGAAGGAGGAAAATATGCAAGAATACCTGTTAGTGGTCCAAGCTGTATTAAAAAAGTTTAACCACTTCCAGATCCACCACGTGCCCAAATAGGAGAACGTAGTGGCAAATGCCCTCGCCAAGTTCGCATCTGCCAACATGCTCATGAGCCTAGCACAGACAGACCACCAATTTGAGCCATGCAAACTCAAGGCAGAGGAGGACGATGTTATTTGTGCATCCTCTGAAACTAATTAGATGACACATATTTGAGCCTACCTAGAGGAAAGAGCTCTCCCAAACAACCCAGTGAAAGCCAGAAAGTTAAGAATGAGAGCATTTAGGTATGTCATCCTGCGTGGCACTCTCTACAAGAAAAGTTATTCACTGCCGCTACTCTACTACCTCACCCTCGAGGAAACAGATTATGCTATGAGGGAGATCCATGAGAGGATATGTGGAAACCACAAAAGAGGACGTGCATTAGCTCACAAGGCAATAAGGCAAGACTATTACTGGCCTAGCATGATCAAAGATGCCCGTGAGTTTGTGAGGAAGTGTGACAAATGCTAGCGCTTTGTGATAGTGCCCAAACAACCATTAGAAGAGGGCACCATTATTTAGAGCCCATGGCCCTTCTCCATATGGAGGATCAACATCCTAGGTCCTCTGCCTATAAGTCGAGGTATTTTGCAAATTTTTAGTGGTAGCTATCGACTATTTCACTAAATGGGCAGAAACCGAGACCTTAGCCAGAATAACTGGCCAGAAGGTGAAAGAATTCATCTAGAGGAGCATAGTCTGCTGTTTTGGATTACCACATACCATAGTAAGCGATAATGTCAAACAGTTTGACAACAAACTCCTTAACAGCTTTTGCGTTGACCTACAGATCAAGTAACTCCACTCCAGCCCAGCTCATCCATAGGCAAACGGGTAGGCAGAGGTCACCGTTAGAACCATTCTCCATAACCTGAAAGCTAGATTGGAGAGTGCAAAGGGGCAATGGCTGGATGAACTCCTAGAAGTATTATGGGCTTACCGACCAATGCCAAGAAGTCCCACGGGTGAGACTCCTTTCTCCTTAGCTTATGGGACAAAGACAGTCATACTAGTCAAAATTGGGGTGGTCTACCACCATGACCCTACCACTAATGAAGAAGGCCTCCGCGTTAACCTTGACTTGGTAGAGGTGGAGAGGGAGATAATCATGCTCATGAATGTAGAGTACAAGCGTTGCATTACCAAATACTACAACTCGAGGGTAAAGCCTCGTTCCTTCTTGCTTGGGACCTAGTCCTAAAAAATGTCATCCTATCTACCAAGGACTCTCGGAAAGGGAAGCTAAGTCCAAATTGAGAAGGACCCTACATGGTTGTAGAAGTTGTAAGACCGAGAACCTACAGAATTCAAAACTCTAAAGGAAAAATCTTAGCCCATCCATGGAATGCAGAACACCTGAACATGTACTACCAATAGTAGGGGGCAAGTCAGTGGATGCATAAGTTAGTAGCCATCATTTAAACCATCTCTGGTTGTTTTAGTCAATTTTTTGTTATCTACTTCGAATTATGAAATAAAATTTTACAAGATTGTCTTTTTCAAAAACTATCTCTCATTCCATAGAAGTTCATCAACTATTTACAAAAGATAGAACATAAATTAGCAGCAAAAAGAGACACATGTAGATAAAAGAGTCATACTCCTAACATTATTCACTGCTCCTCGATTCACTCTCATCAAAGCTCTCCTACTCGTCATCAGTCCCTAGTGCCTCACAAGGAACAAAGCCAAAAAATTCATAGGAAGGAAAAGCTGCTAAGACCCTCCCCTTAATTTCCTCATAACCATCGATAAAGGCGCTTGCCACGGCTCTCTCTACAGCATCCCTCTTATTCTCCATCTCAATGGAGTGAGATTATGCCCTGGTAACTCTCTCAAAAGCTGCTCGAAGGTCAGCCTCTGACACAGAAACCCTCTACCGAGCTATCCATAGTTCGGCCTTTGCTCCAGTGGCCCTCTTGCGGAACACTCCCAGCTCTGTCTTTGATCTCATGTAGGCAATCTTTCTGTCAGCCTCTAGCTGAGCGGCCCTCTTATAGGACGCCAAAAGATCTGTCTCAAGGAGCACAACTCTCTCGGGTGCTAGCCTCTACTACTCCTTAGCATCTTCTCATGCTTGCCTCTCGAGCTTCAACTACTCTTCGGTAGCCTTTCGGGTGTGCCTCTCGAGCTCCAACTACTCATCAGCAGCCCCTCGTGCCTATCTCTCTGTTGCTAGATCTCTGAATGTCTCTCCAAGCTTCATTATCCTTGAAAACAAGTAGAGATAAGTGGCAGCCACCTATAAGCATTCAAAAAGTAGGACATGAGGGAAAAGAAACGAGTACAAAATCAAAGATGAGTAAAAAGCATATCATAGCAAAGTCTTTCATAGCAGTGTCAATGATGCCCTCTAGATCCACTATCTAGACCATCCAAGCCAGGGTCAGCTGATGGGGCAATGCCAAACCCAGCCATTGAGGAGTCGCCATCCAGCCCAATGCCAGGGGTGCTACCTTCCCAGCGACTGGCACTATCTTCTTGCATGTGACGTAAGGGGTCACCTTTCCTGTAGCTGGCGCCGCCCACCTGTGCAAGATATAAGGCGTCATCCTCTACGTTGTTGCCACTATATTTCATGTAACTCGAGGCATTGCTAGGGCCTGAGGTGCCACCTAGTGCATCGCATGTGTCATCCCCTCTTTCTGTAGTGTCGTGTTCAGCGCCTCTGGCGTCGCCCAAGCTTTTGGCGTCGCCTAGGCTGTCGACCATGCTTGCAGACTCCTATCTGCTAGCACCCAGACCAAGGCCGACGAGCTTAGTAGCACTTGCATCCATCCAGCCTACTTCGACGCCCGGGTTGCCCATGCTGAAGGCGGCGCTGCTCCTTACTTTGATGACCTTAGCGTCACCTGGATCTACAACGTTCCCCCTACATGAACCGACGTCGCCTGCCACTGCCTTGCCCTTGGTTTTACTTGGTTTCACCCTTGGCTCTGTGGGGTCGCTTGGGTCAGGCTCTCCCAAGGACCTTACGGCCATCTCCCTCATAGAGATGTTCATGGACCTCCTTCTCATCGTTCTCCCATTCTCCTCTATCCTCTTTTCCTATGAACTCTCTCTCTTAATGGCTTTTGAAATAAAGAACATTTAACAGGGATATTAGTTTGTGGAATAGGTGGATAAGGGTTTCTAAACCCTGGTTATAAAGGGGAAATTTTAGGAAAAATGGGGAAGACCTTTTAAGTTCCGAAGATAAGTGCCCTAAAAAAGGAGATTCTAGTGCAATGGAGACTCACCATAAAGGAGGCTGAATGGTGCCATGGGTGCCCAACCATGAGTTATATAAGAAGTTTTGTGATTGAGAGAATGAAGAGACTACTGTGTAAAACAAGAAACCTTTTGTCTATTCAAATGAAGAGCTCACGCATGCCCTCAATCTCCTTGACATAGCAAGGACTTGGAGCATGGGGGAAAAATAACGAGCCTAGATCTTGTTGGGTCAGGCCCAATTAATTAAGTAAGCCCAGATCAATTGCAAGGCAAGTCAAGCCTAGTTCATGAATTCAGCCCCGTCCAAAGTTCGAGGAGTCCAGAAGGATTAGCGTACATAGGGAATAATTATCGAGATGATCACTCTTCAAGATCAAAACTATCTCTAATTGTACCTATCCTTAGCTATAGTTACCCTCTCCGAAGGATTGGTCTCCTATCACATTACACTACTGCCTCAACTACGACTATGTGCCTATATATTGTAAGCTTGCTCCACATGAAAGGGCATCTCCCTACGCACCCTTTACCCAAATATTTCTCTCATAGCTACTAAATCTCTCTTAGAGCTCACCTTTGCTCTCTCTCTCTCTCACACACACACCTTACTTTATTAATAAAAGTCTCTGTCCATCGTTGCCACCTTCAAAGTGGAGTAGGTCACCTTGACCGAAGCACTATACGTCTGTGTGTTGACCAAATATATGTCTCCTTGATTAATTGCCTTATTGATTGTTTCATTAATTACTTTGTATTACACACTCGATTGTTGATTTTGCATAAGCCTATTTTGTGCATCATCAGTTTTGATGCTTCAATGATTTAAGTAAATGATTTTCATAGTAAAGCCTCTCAAGATCTTCAGGGCTTTGTAGAAAATCATAAAGTTTAGGCTCTACAACTGCATCAATCAACAAATAAGAAACACCAAATCAGAATAAATATCTATGCAAAATGATCCTAACACTACAAGAAAAGTGGGCTTTTGTGTCGAAGTAAAAAATTTTTGCTTCGACATCAAGACTTTTTGCTTAGGTAAAAGAGATGTAGTAAAAAAATTTTGATTCAAAAAATTAACTTTGGCTAATAGTCAAAGCAAAAATGTATTAGCTTCGACAAATAACCGAAGCAAATGAGAAGTATTTACTTTAGCAAGCAAATAATCAATTTTTAGCTAAGCACTTTGTTGAAGCAAATACCCTGTTTTTTGTTTTGGCAAAGTACTAAAGTAAATAATCACTTGGCCAAAACAAATACCTTATTTTTTTACATTGGCAAAATACCGAAGGAAATAATCACTTTGACGAACCAAATACACTATCTTTTTGCTACCTATTTTTTTGTTTCGGCATTCAAACTTCGTGCTGAAGCAAATACTCACATATTACTGCAAATATAAATTTTTACAAAAAAAAAAATAGGAATTTGATCTTGTCCATTCATAAATATAATTACGTCTCCTGTTCATTCATGCAAATCTCCCACAGAATCTACCATAAACGATTCTAATTAAAACAAAAGTAATAAACACAACAATATTGTAATTACCACAAACATCCAAATCTAATTACATATCAATATTATTCAACATTTTTGAAATTATCAAAAGTACTAATTAAGTACACATAGTTCAAAAACATAAATAAATGATGGCATGCGCAACATTTACCCTTTCTCTACAACCTACAAAATAAAAAACGATTTGGTGTTATTATTAAGTAATTTATAAAATGAAGTACATAAAATTACTAATAATGGTGTAATTAGGTGTATGAGCAGAACGTATGATCCATGGAAATTAGTGTTAAACTGAGCTACCAGGCTCGTGAGGATTGTGGAAAAATTCTCAAGGAATTAGGCTAATTTATGCAATGAAATTATAATGGTTCACTAGCTTGGGAGCTCAGCTAAGCCACTCTTTAATGGAAGCTCTTGCTCCTTGGATTTGTATTCTTCACTTTTTTGAATTTCAATAGTGTTCTAATACAATTAGGGTTTCCCCTTTCAATGGAGGTATTGTTCTGTATTTATAGTCTAATTCCTATTCCTAAGGGATCTGTGTCGAGATCCTTGGCCTTCATTTGAGGGATTGTCTTTGATTCTGGGTGAGGATCTCAGTTAATTGAGAGTTTTGCGCCTTGATGGTAGCTTTTTGCTATTTTGAGGGTTCNATCTTTCTCCCAACTTCTAAGGCATACTGTTGGGACTCCTTGCCTTCTTTAAGAAACAGAGTTTAGGGGTTCCTCCCATTCCCTTGCTCATAAAATTTTCAATGTCAAATATACCACTTCTGATGGTTTTCTATACATTTCCAAACGGGTGAGAGCCAAAGTCATCATTTCAGACCTCCCCAACTCTTATAAGGGTTGGAAGAAACTTTTCTTCTTTGTATGGGGCAGTCAGTGGAAAAATAACCCTGATTCTAGTCACTCTACTCATTCCTCGATTCTAGTCTGCCCCTGACAACCTGGGTAAGTCCCCACCTGAGTTGGTTATGTCCAGTTTTGATGACTTGTTTTGCTGACTTTGTTTCGCTTGTTTTACTTTTCAGGTATTTAGCCTAAGCTCAGTGCCGAGGATAGGCTAGTTCTGCTATCTTAGAAGATTGTGATTCAGAGAGATATTTTGATCTCACCAAGCCCCAGGTCATTGTGGCACTTGGGTTTAGTCCTCCTGAGGTGAGGATCGAGAATCCTATTCCTCTTTCTGTTGTTAGCGCTGAGGAAATGACAGGTAAGACTCTCTTTCCCTGCTCTCGAGTCTTTAGCTCCTTGCTCCTTGCTTTCTCTTTTAGGATCTGTTTGCCTTGAGTTTGCAGGTTCTTCGTCAATGGAGCCCACTACGAAGGATCGCATGGCTAAAGCGTCCTTGTTAAAGAAAACCCGAAGTGGGAATAAACGCAGGGTTGAGGTCGATTTTGGGGGTGAATCAGCCTACCTAGCCAAGGTACCAAGGCTAAAGGCGATTCCCACTTCTCGCCAGCTATCCCAGGTGGCCATTTTAACTCCTTCAAGTTCTCTGAAGGTTGTACAAATCTCTCCCTCTCGAGTAACTGAGCTACCCCCTTCTGGAGGGACTCTTGAGCGGAGTGTGATTCCATCCTCTTCCTCTTTCGACGAGGTTGAGAGAGCTCTAGAGATGATCCCTTGCATTCTACCCTAGTCCATCCCTCCTTACCTGAATGAGATGTCCTCTCTGCAACTCCCAAGGTCTCTAAGAGTGAGAAGGGAGAGCTCCCTAGTGTTGAGGCAGGTGAGAGCTCTTTAATTGATAATGTGAAGCGAGTGGAAGAGGCCATTGCCAACATTCTCCTTGAGTATGATATCCAACGAGCTGCTACTATGCCCCTTGGGACCTCTATTTCTACTGCCTTGTTTGCTGTTACCTCTGTAAGTTTTTGGCTTTTCAACTTTCTCCTTTATCTTGCGTCTTCTTCTTGTACTAACTTTAGCATTTTGGGTTGTGTTTATTCTTAGATGCACCTTTATGTAAGTGGTTTACTAAAGAGGATCCAGGCCATGGAGGGCTTTGCCAAAGCTTCCAAGGCTTTTGAGCTCAAGGTCACTGAGTTGTCCTTTGAGAACAACAATCTTAGATCCTAGGTCCAGAACTTGCAGGTGCAGGTAGAGAAGTAGACCTTTTTTAACAGAGGCTTAGAGGCAGGGAAGGAAAGGATTGAGAACGAGCGTAAGGGCTCCAAAGAAGAGCTTAGAAAGACTAAGGGGGAGCTCAAGGAAACCACAAAGGAGCTCAGGCAAAAAAAAGATGACTTGATTAAAGCCAACCAAGAGGCTATGAAGGCCTTGAGTTCTTATATGAAGTTGAAGAGAGAGTACGATATCTTGGCAGAGGTAAACGATATTATCCGGGATAAGCTTGAGGAGGAAAGTGTTACGACTCTAAAGAAGGATGATCTGATTGCAAAACTAGCAGACGATGTTACTACCCAATGGGTTACTGGATGGCTCACTTTCCAAAACAAAGCTGAGCAAACCTACCCAAGACTGAATTTCGACTTCGTGACCTCAGTTGAGGAAGAAGCTGGGGCTGCTAACATTGAGGCCTGATCCAAATCCCCTTCGGCTTCTGAGATAGTTCCTAAAGGGGCTGAGGTGCCCCTAGCTTGCCCCCTTGATACTGATTCCATTCCTATAGTAGTTGATCTCCCTGTTACTCGTACTGCTACCTCTGGGGTTGCCCCCTTCTCTGCTGACCTTATTTTTAAAGCTCTTGCCCTGAATTCTCCAACAGCTGGAGTAACAGTTGCTCTTTTGTTTGCTCCCGGATCCCTAAAAACTTCAACTACTGATCTTCCAATTACTTCTTCATTAGAAACTTCAATTGTAGACCTACCAGAGCCTTCTCTTGCTGAATTACCTGTCATACCAACTGCTAAGCTACCTGGTTAATGTCCTCCAGCTTCTACAGAATCTTAGGACTTAATTTAGACTTATAGTTTTTTTTTTGAAGCACTTGTTGCATAGCTTTCCTGAATTACTAATGTAATGTTGATGTAGCTGTCCTCTTTTTGAAGTAAATATCCATTGTTACTACTCTACTTTATTTTATGTTCCCCTTGCCCCCTTGCTTCAAGGGATCCTTCAGATCTCCTTGAAGCAAGCGAGTTTGGAATAATTGGTGAGCTGAATATATGCCCAACTTGAGATCTTATGCATGAAGGATTGGTCCTTCTTGATATAGACTCACCTAGAGGGCTGCAGGCTTGGAAACCTATCAAGAGGCTTTACCCCTGGAGATCTTCTTTTTGCTTTCTGGTGTTTTTAAGGGGTTAATGGATGGCAAAC